GAGAATACTACAGTCACTCATTTTCGTTAGATACCATTTTTACGAAAAGTGTGAACTTTCTATGGAATCTGACTGAGCGAAAGCCATCGTAAAAAAGGTATCTAACGAGAATGAGTGTGGTATTTTATTTATTACCCACGTTAAATATATATTTAAGTGTAAATACATAACAACTTTCGTTCGTTGACAGACAAAACTGAAACCGGTTGCAAAATCTGGTTGCGCATGAATATTGATATATAGCCAAATATGGGCATTGTTGACATTTCTATGCATACGCATTAACAACATGCGCCTGCAACTTGTTTGCAAACAAAACAGCACCGACGCTCAAGATCCTTTTGGCAGAAATTCTTCAAATTATGGTAATTCAAGCGCTATGTTGATGGTACGAAGGACACCTATAAGAAAATTTGAAAAGTCACATTAACGACGCGCTTTGAATATCGGCCTAACAGTCGGTCACTCGACCTGCCGGTGTTCCGTCTGTGCAATCAAAATGGTTCGGTTTCCTTGATCCATCAGCTGAATTTATATCATGTTTGTACCATTTTGGAAGAGGGAAATCAGAGTGTTCGCCAAAGACATTCATGTTAAATGAACCACCCTATACTGAAGACGTGAAAATCAACAAACTCAAGTCTGCTTGCAGTGACAGCTTCGAACGATCGAAGGGCAAGGTCACCACCGGAAAAAGAAAAGACAACCGTGATCTACTCACAGCGTTTTACGCTAGAGATAGGGAATGTTATCGTTCACATTTGGGATGTTTGGGGCCACAAAATCAGAAGTCAGGCACACTTCCATGGAGTTTTCGAATGATTTGTATCAGAACTGTTCACTTTTAGTGATCTGGTCGTGCACTCGTGTACGTTCATTCATGAACTCTTCCCGAAACAGTGCCACAAAATACGCTTCGAAGTGGACACTGATGGCACAGCCGGATCATCCCAAGTAAGTCTAGATATCTGCCCAGATAGTTTAAACAGACTTCATTTTACCACGCTTATCCTTTTACGTTAAATCAAATTGAAAGTTGCGAAAGTGGTCGGGTGCGTCACGCTCATGGGGACCCTCGCTCTATTGATCGGTAGTCGTGCATTGTAAATGGATATAACTCAATTATATAATGTTTGTAGAAGCTCTATGCATAACTTATATATAATGCAAACCGAATTTGATGCGTGTGACTATTTTGTTTGATTTAATAAAGTGTTTGTAAATATCTCTCGTTCTCATTAATTTCTTCAGTTCTGCCTTGCAGTTGCAAAATGAATGACGTCTCGCTATTTTTTTATGAATGAAAAAAGTAGCCCCGGTGTGACAGAGATCACATCCAATCAAAACGAATAAAACAAAGTCAACCTTGTACGACACACGTGTGACGCATGGATTTAGTATCTTACCACCTGTATCTTCACCACGTGGGTAATAATGGTTAAAATTAACCAGAATGCATGAAGGGCGCATCCCAAGAAAAGTATATAACATGTTGATGTATTTCGACAACATTGGTCATAATACTTGGGTAGCATCTGTTCGTAACATTTTATTTTCGCATGGTTTGGGATTTGAATGGTTAAACCAGTCTGTCAGGGACAATATAGCTTTCATTGGGGTATTTAAAACGTGCCTTGTAGATGAATTTCGTCAAAACTGGATTTCAACACTATCATTTCGTATTGATCTGTAAACATTAAACTGCGTAAAGTTTATTTGACAGAGATGTATTGGAAATTTCCAACTATGGTCTGGAAGTTAATTTAAGGTACCGACGTTTACTACAATATCTGAAAAACTATTGGACCTACTCCAGTCAAAGTTGGTATGAGATTATTAAACAGTCATACATAACTGGATATTACATTTAAAGACAATCGGTGCATGAATAAACAAATCTGTCTATTTAGCTATCACTATATTTCATCAACAACCAGACCTGTTCGTCACGGGTGGAAAGAGCATTCATTGGAACAGCCATCTGCATAATACTACCCCTGCGTCACAGGGCCATATGACACAGTTGAACCAATCAACTCAACTCAAAAGGTTGCACGGGAATCACGCAATGTTCAGCGACTCACTAGCGTCACACAATGGTCAGTGTCTCACTCACGTCACAATGGTCAGTATCTCACTGACGTCACAATGGTCAATGACTCACTGACGTCACACAATGTTCAGCGACTCACTAGCGTTACACAATGGTCAGTGTCTCACCGACGTCACAATGGTCAGTGACTCACGGACGTCACACAATGTTCAGTGACTCACAAGCGCCAGACAATGATCAGTGACTCACTGAGGTCACACAATGGTCAGTGACTCACTGACGTCACACAATGTTCGGTGACTCAGTGACGTCACCATGTTTAGTGACTATCTGGCGTCACACAATGTTCAGTGACTCACTAGCGTCACACAATGTTCAGTGACTCACTGACGTCACAATGGACAGTGACTCAGTGCCGTCACACAATGTTCAGTGACTCACAGACGTCACACAATGTTCAGTGACTCACTCGCGTCACCCAATTTTCAGTGACTCACGGACGTCACAGAATGTTCAGTGGCTGACTGCCTTCACACAATGATCAGTGACTCACTGGCGTCACACTATGTTCAGTGACTCACTGCCGTCACACAATGTTAAGTGACTCAGTGACGTCACACAATGGTCAGTGACTCACTGACGTCACTATTGTCAGTGCCTCAGTGCCGTCACACAATGTTCAGTGACTTACTAGCGTCACAATGGTCAGTCACTCACTGACGTCACAATCGTCAGTGACTCACTGACGTCACAATGGTCAGTCACTTACTGACGTCACAATGGTCAGTGACTCACTGACGTCACACAATGGTCAGTGACTCACTGACGTCAGGATGGACAGTGACTAACTGTCGTCACACAATGTTCAGTGACTCACTGACGTCACACAATGTTCAGTGACTCACTAGCGTCACACAATGTTCAGTGACTCACTGACGTCACACAATGGTCAGTGACTCACTGACGTCAGGATGGACAGTGACTAACTGCCTTCACACAATGTTCAGTGACTCACTGACGTCACACAATGTTCAGTGACTCACTAGCGTCACACAATGTTCAGTGACTCACTGACGTTACACAATGTTCAGTGACGCACTGCCATCACACAATGATCAGTGACTCACTGTCGTCACACAATGTACTGATCAGTGACTCACTGCCGTCACACAATGATCAGTGACTCACTGACGTCACACAATGTTCAGTGACTCAATTACGTCACACAATGGTCAGTGACTCACTGACGTCACAATGGTTAGTGACTCTCTGACGTCACAATGGTCAGTGACTCACTGACGTCACACAATGGTCAGTGACTCACTTGCCTCACACAATGTTCAGTGACTCACTGACGTCACACACTGATAAGTGACTCACTGCCGTCACACAATGGTCAGTAACTCACTGCCGTCACACAATGGTCAGTGACTCAGGGACGTCTCACAATGTTTAGTGACTCACCGACGTCACAATGTTTAGTGACTCACTACCGTCACACAATGTTCAGCTACACACTGACGTCATACAATGTTTAGTGACTCACTACCGTCACACAATGTTTAGTTTTGTGACTACCTGGCGTCACACAATGGTCTATAACTCACTGACGTCACACAATATTCAGTGATTCACTGACGTCATACAATGTTCAGTAACTCACTAACGTCACACAATAGACAGGGACTGACTAACGTCACACAATGTTCAATGACTCACTGGCATCGCACAATCTTCAGTTCATTGATTCACTAACGTTGCATAATGGACATTGACTCACTAACGTCACACAATGTTCAATGACTCACTGACGTCACACAATGTTCAGTGGCCACAATTATTAATTCATCTTCCATATTTTAGATAAAGCTCATTCCATTGATGAAAAAAACATGTTTCCTTTTGCAAAATAGCCACACTGTGTTTTTAAAAAAGACATTCATGACAGCGACTGAACGTCTTCGAATATTGACAAATCTTTAAAATGTAACATGCCCACCAAGAGATTGATGGATAGACGTAGAGCTTTAATACACTGTTGGTGTCTGATGACAAAAATGAAGACGTTCACACTTATGTCTAAGGTTGTTGACGGAACAGACCGCCTCCATGGTCTAGTGGTAGAGCGTCCGCCCAGAGAGCGGAAGGTCCGGGGTTCGATCCCCGGCCGCGTCATACCAAAAGACGTTAAAAGATGGTACTTGTTGTAACGCTGTCTGGCGCTCGGCATTAAGGGGCTAAAACAAGGACTGGTCGGCTAGGAGTCAGTATACTGTGTCTGAGTGGGGTATTCATGTTAAACTGCGGCATGGTATCTCAGTGAGCTAGCACTTTAAATCAGTATCAGTCCGGACTAGTACAAGCAGCCACACAAACACACACACCTACATGCACGTCGCTATATACGTGCAATAATCGTGGACGCGACGTTAAACCCCATTTCACCTCACCTCACCATGTCACCTCACCTCTTGACGGAACATTTCCTTATTACATTTAAATCCACAATTTTCCAACTTATCCAAACGCAGCTCAATAGGGCTGTTTTTTTATCAGCGCTACATCATGCAAGGCCTCAGTAAGGCTTCCAAAAAACTTCCTTGGCAGACATGTGGAGAATATTCCCAATTTTGACACACCAGTGACCGAAATGATGTCAGCTGTAATTCTGTATTTTGACTTGTACCACATGTACCCGTGTTTGTTCAGCTGAACAGTTGTCTTGCTTTTGCCTGTACCTGTGAAGGGCGGTGGATAATAAATAAGTAACATATTTACAAATAAACTTTGTACTTTATAGAAGTGTAGTAGTTTTCAAAATTTGGGTTTCTGATTGAAAGGTCTGATCCCAAAACATCTGACTTTCCTGCAAAAGACCCCAAACGGAAAAAATACAAACGATTGTTTTACAAATAAAACATCTAATACAATTCCACATTTCACTTACTTGCCAACTATCCCTGCACACAACAACACCAATCGGAAGAAGATCGACATCCCTCCACACACCATGTTTCAGCGACTTAAGCCAGCGCCATACTGACTTGTGCCAACAGTTGAATGTATTGATTGTCTCGTCACAGAGAGCAAGCGGACTCTTTTCTTTTGTTTAGTCCACTATATTCAAATGATATGACGCCACCCTGTAAACTGACTGTATCTGTGGGGACAACATAACAAAAGCTGTAGCTTGCTCGATCCAACAGTGATTATGCTTATTAAGAATTGATGCCAGTTTCTAAAACTTTGTCTATGTGCTTTTTAGCTAAGTTGAAGCGGTTTTGAATTCTTTGTCTGTTGCAAATAGTCCATGAAGACGTTAAGCCATTTATAATTCAGATACTAATGATACACCCAACGTCGTAAGTCATACCCAAATCCCATGTCGTCTTCGGAGCCAACATTGGCAAACATCCACGTGAGGTAAAACGTTTGGCGTTAACGTGGACGTGTCTTTCATTTTCACGTCGGCGGTCTTCACAATCCTACAATAGACTCTGCTTGAACAGATATTTCTTATGCTAATGGAAAAGGTTGAATCGCTATATTATTTATGCATACCAAATATTGACCACCTCCGTTTTTGTACTGTAAACAAGAGTTCATAATACACACGTGAAAATGGTTTTAATATATCTTGTCTTGTTTTTGTCCAATTTGTCGCTTTTATTCATGGCACCCCGGGGATGGACCGTGGTCTAGTGGACAAAGCGTCTGCACTGAGCGCGGACGGAGGGCTGTCGGCTTTGACCATAAGAACACTTTTCCGTTTGTGCCAGGATCACGCAGCCACACATCTGTCGTGCAGATGGTTATTCTGTTGACGATATATTTGTAATAGAATATTGATTACTTCAAACGATCGATTATTGTACACGCGGTGTCTTCAGATTCAACATACACCTATGAAAACGGTTTTAACATTTCTTGTCTTGTGTGTGTCACCAAATATCTATTCTGAAATTGATGTGGATGATTGTCTAATTATACTCATGCTGGCGGACCATGCCCCATCTCTCCACACCCCTTTTGAAATACTTATGAATTATCCTTTAGTGTATGAGTGGTTTGTCTGATCCAGATACGATCATATAGCCGCCGTCCTTTGGCTGATACACAGCAGATTGTGGCGTTAAACAAGAATCAAACCCAAACTGTACCCACTTATACGATAAGACCCAGTGGTTGACGGGGTTGTAAATCACAAGCGAAATCCCAGCAACGGGAAATACTTCAGAAATGTTCATGCATGCGTACCTGTCAGCGAGGATCAGTTCCAAATGACATTACTACATCCAGAACAAATATTGCCAGTGTTAATGTGTCGTGGACAATATGTCCTATTAACAACTGGGAATAATTTCCCTAGAGCAAATAGCATAAAGGAACTACTTTACTACAGGGAAGGTACTCTTGGACATACACTGCAGCTAGACAGTTGTAATTCGGTACAACGTTGTAACAACAAACAGGTAATTACAATGTTTGTCAACATCTCGAGGACCGCCTCCGTGATCTAGTTGATAAAGTATCTGCCCGGAGAGCGGAAGGCCGGTGGTTCGATCCTCGCGACATACCAAGAAGGCGTTAGAAGATGGTACTTGTCGCTGCCCTGTCTGACGCTCGGCATAAAGGGGATAACACGGGAAATAGTAGTCTAGGCTGCGGCAGGGACAGTCCGGCTCAGTACAAGCAGACACCAATACACGATGCAGCAAACGGTATTAAAGGAACGAGAGGTACGAGAAGACAGGGGACGCAACCATCTGTCTCCATGGCACGAGGACACAGGTGGACCGCTATCACCTCGCTCGAGACCCGTGAAGATTTTCTGAAGAAAGAAATGCGATGCTTTTTCATGTTGTAAACTCATTCAACAATTGTGCGACCTATGGTTTGAAAACTACTACAGTAGTACAGTTTCTATACCAGTAAGAGGAAGCAGTGCGATGGGTTTTTTCAATATTTGGATTTTACAGCTATTTTTCATATTTTTTAACCTAGGATTCATTTGTGCGACCTGCAACTAGAAAACTACTTCATTGATTCTTTTCAAATTTAGGGAACAGTTTCCATACAAATATAAGAGGTGCAGTGTAAATTTTGTGTTTTTTGTGAAACAAAATATCATTTCTTTTCATTTTTTTTAACATAGAATATTTTTTATTTCAACATTTGTGCGACCCATAACTTATAAAACTACTTCAAGGATTCTTTTTCAATAAATTGTGGGTACAGTTTCTATACCAATAGGAGAGGCGAGGTACAAAAAATGATTTCTGAAGTGGATTTTCTGAGAAACTATTGCTTTTTTCATGTTTTGAACTATGTTGGAGTTAAAGTCCGGGGTATTAGTGAGCCCTGCTCACTTTTTGACTTTTTAGTCATAAAGAAGTAACAAGGAGACGTAATTAGTTTGCAGGAAAAATACTTCACCGCATCTCCCTTTCCATATGTGTAATGTATTAAGTGAAATAATTGCAACGTTAAGCCCAGTTTCACCTCACCTCACATACAAATGCCGGAAAAATAATTATCTTCAGAGGGACGGATTGTTTACGTAGGTTAACATTGTTTAGCTTTTGTTGCTTCTTTTAAACATAGAGTCTCAAAATGATCGACAAAACACGTTCCATAACCATTGAATTATCTGCTAAAAGCAGCCCATTGTTCGCTTGAGACTATATCATCAATAATACAAATAGGATACTGATATTTATTTTTGTTCGACCACCGACATTATTCAAGTTTTTGGTGTTTTTTTCAAACAACTAATAACATACAGCATAAAACATGCCTAGGCATGTGTTCATGTGCTTATTGATTGAAGCTTTAAAGTGCGAAAATAAACATTTGCAATCTGTCAAATAAAACATTGATAACTGTAAGACATATATCATGACAATACTAGAACTATATATGACACAGTGGACAACACGTGGGGATTCCTACTGAGAACATGTCCCCAGCAACCTAAGCTGGTCGTAAGAGGCGGCCAACTGGATCAGTGGTCACACTGGGCGACTCGGTTGATTCATAGTACCCTGACGGCGTGGATTGATGCCCACAATGACAGTAACTGATCCAGACTTGATTTTATACAGCTCACCGTCACACAGCTAAAATATTGCTGAATGCGGCGTAAAGCAATAAAAGACTAAAGCAAAACGACAGGGCTTCATAAACAGAATCGTGCGATCATATGAATCAGGTGGGGATGCGAGTTTAGGGATTTCTGGTCAGAACAGATCCCTGCGTGGATTGTTGATCACAATATCCATCACTGGATTGTCCAGGACAGACAAAATTAACATGATATAGCTGGAATATTGCTGGATGCGGCAGCAAACAGTGGACACAGATGGGACTTCTCAAATTGTATTGTATTGCACCTACAAAGGTTGAAATACAGGAACAGTCTCCTTTTCACACAGCAATAGTCGTGAGAGCAGCAGCAGCACGCAGCTGACGCGACTTTAATGTACTACCACTACAATAAGTGTCCTTCAGTCTCGGAGACAACATACTGTACTTGATGCACAGGTTAACATTGTTTCGCTGTTGCTGGTTCTTGTTAACATAAATACATAAACTCAGAAAACCTTTTCCAGAACCATTGAATTATCTGCTAAAAGCAGTCCATTCTTCACTTGAGACTGTATCATTAATAATACAAATAGGATACTTACATTTAGTGTTAATCGACCACACAAACATTGTACAAGGATTGTTTTTCTTTTACAACAACTAATGGCTACAACATAAACATGCCTTGGCATGTGTTCACATGCTTATTGATGCGTAATGCAATATATTAAAAAAACTCTCCGAAAACTATAATACAACACATATCATGACGATACTACTGTGACACTCTGGAAAACCCCGTGCGGATTCCTGGTTTTAACATGTCCTAGCAACCTATGTTGGTCGTAAGAGGCGACCAATAGAATCGTCGGTCACACTGGGCGACTTGGTTGATTCATAGTACCCTGACGGCGGGGATTGATGCCAACACTGTCAGTAACTGGATTGTCTGATCCAGACCTGATTTTTTACAGCTCACCGTAAAACAGCTTAAGTAGAGTTGAATGCGGCGTTAAACAATAACAGAGTAAACCTAAACGATGTTGCTTCACAATTTACACTCAAGTAGGGTAGGGAACCTGTGCCCTTACGGCTGACATACAGGAACAGTCTACTTTTCACTTTTCAGCTGTGGCAGTGAGTGTAGTAGCGGCAAGACGTACCTGTCGGGACTTTAATGTACTAGCACCAAAGTCAGTGTCATTCGGTCTAAGGGACATTAGACTTTGTTAGAGGAGTTCATACAATAAAATGCTGGAGAGGCCCATAGAGCCCGGGCAAGATGCCATTGAGTTTGTGTTTTTTTCAGCGACGAGGAAACAGGGATCAGGTGGATTTGTCCCACAACACAAAACCGATTGTTTTATCAAATTTCGTCACATAGAGTTACCTGCCTTGGGAATCAGCCAGTACATCATGCTGATGATTGGAAAACGTCCCCATGGAAGAGTCGCTTTGTGAAGATCTCTCTCTATATATATATGTATAATTAATAATTCACGTTACACTAGTGACACAATCGATCCACACAATTGGGATAGGATGATGTGAAATAACAATCAGTCAACTCGCCGAACAATTTATCCATTTATTAGCATCTTACAATTAGCATACGGGTGTATTCTATCATTGAATCCTAACGGAACGTTTGTCTTAGATTGTCAAGTGAACTAAATGTCGTTTGTAAATCTTCACGCATGAGTAGGATTATCAAGTACTTGTAGATACGTCTCCTGTATATATTGTCATTTTTCAATAGTTTGACATATCCGGTTGTACTGACTGACTGAGTATGGTTTTACGCGGCTTTTAGCAATATTCCAGCAATATCACGGCGGGGGACACCAGAAATGGGCTTCACACATTGTACCCATGTCGGGAATCGAACCCGGGTCTTCGGCGTGACGAGCGAACGCTTTAACCACTAGGCTACCCGACCGCCCCT